AGGGGTTTTTTTTTGTGTCATCTTCTGGGCGTGGACCAGGGGTCACTGTGGGTGTGGAGGGGGGGAGGTATTTGTGAATTTCCTGCACGGTGCAGGGGGTTGGACTAGATGACCCTGGAGGCCCCTTCCAGCTCTGTGATTCTGTGAGATCCTTTGCCCCGTGATGTTTCCAAAAGTGCCTTTGGCCCCCAAACAAAGGCCCGACAGTCAAGCGAGTCTCACCCCTTCCAGGAAGAAGCACGTGTCGGCTCTCCTGGACGTGCGGGGCCTGCAGAACCAAGTCCAGCGCCAGTCCATTCTGGCGGTGATGGAGGCCCTCGAGCAGACCGAGGAGGAGGACTCCCCCTGCCAGGACCGGGTCTTCTTCTCCAGGATCCCCACCAGCGAAGTGTCCTGCGTCCGAGTCAAGCTGCAGCACCTTTCGCACGTGGGGCACTCCTGCCTCTCCCGCCTGCGCTGGAGGCCCCGGCAGCGGCGGCAGTGGCAGCGGCGAGCCAAAGAGAACGAGGCCGAATCGCAGGTGTGAGAACCTGTGGCCCGCCCGCGCCTGGTCTTCCGTGCAACCTCCGGGGTCCGCTGGGCAGGCGCCCGGAGCCCCTACCGCTTCCTGTTCCCAGAGGACTCTGTGCTGGGGATGTGGACTCTCATACCAGACAACCCTCTCTTCTCTCAGCCTCTGTTGCTTTCCCGCTTCTCCCCTCCCCACGGAGCATCTTTCCGTGGCCAAGAATGACCACAGCCACAATGTAAATTACCCAGGCTAGGGATGGCCAAAGGAATGTGCTAAGATATCCTGGGGGGGCGGGGGAGAGGAGGGCTCGGATCCGTCCTTTGGGGCCCAACTCAGCAGCTGCCGGGCAGCTGTCGGGGAACAAGGAACATCCAGGCAGGCCCCTTCTGACGAAAGAGGAATGAGAGGGGAGGGGGGAAAGAGAACTGGACTCATTTCGGGAACCAAACCCAGCCCCCTCCCCTGGCTTCCCCCCCTGCTCCCCACCCCCAAGCCTACAGACAGAATAAAAGGGGTGATGGGGGGGGGCTCTCCTGCCCAATTGTTGTGGGGGGGGGAGACGACACAAAGCAAGGCTCAGCTTAGTCCTGGCTGTAGGGGAGGGCCCCCCCCAAGAGAAGCGACTTCTGTTTTGTATAGAAAAAAATAAATAAATGCATATTAATTTATCCCGTCAGCCCTGTGTGTGGTTTTTTTTTTTGGGGGGGGCAATGGTATGAACTGGCTTTACCCACTTGGAGCATGGGTGGGGTGGATTAGGGGTGGAGCCTAAAATGGATTAGGGGTGGAGCCTAAGACGGGTGAGGCTTGGGAAGGGGAGGGAATTCAGTGGGGTAGAATGGCCATAAAGCTCACCTGCCCAAGGGGTCCCTTTCTCCAGGGGAGCTGGAATGTTGGACTGGATGGGCCTTTGGCCTGATCCAACATTGGCGTCTCTTATGTTCTTATGGGGTGGAAGTCTGGAAAGAAGTAAATAACCGTGATGTATTATGCCAAAAAAAAAGTCTCCAAAGACCAGAAATTTCTTTTTCCAATATTTCAGCCTACTGGAAGGAATTCAAACGCCATCAACACAACGGATCATGCCTATTATCTCATTTCGTGTGTAACTTTTTCAAGGCGAGTCGCGTTGAAATACAATATTAATCCATTTGACAAACCCCTGGCATAATACATCACGGTTGTTTACTTCTTTCCAAACCACCTAGAGGCTGACAACACGAGGGTGGGTGGCTGTGTGGCACTGCACAGCAATTGCTGCCTGCAAGCTTGGCACGCAGAAGGTCCCGGGTTCAATTCCAGGGATCTCCATTTAAGAAGAGGAGACTGGATTTATACCCCGGCATAATGCATCACGGTTGTTTACTTCTTTCCAAACCACCTAGAGGCTGACAACACGAGGGTGGGTGGCTGTGTGGCACTGCACAGCAATTGCTGCCTGCAAGCTTGGCACGCAGAAGGTCCCGGGTTCAATTCCAGGGATCTCCATTTAAGAAGAGGAGACTGGATTTATACCCCATGGCCCTTCAGTACTCGGAGTCTCAGAGTGGTTTACGATCACCTTCCCCTCCCCACAGCAGACACCCTGTGAGGTCGCTGGGGCTGAGAGAGCTCTTTCGAGGACTGCCCTTGAGAGAACAGCTCTGCCAGAACTTGTGACTGACCCAAGGTCACACCAGCAGCTGCGTGTGGAGGAGGAGTGGGGGAATCAAACCCGGTTCTCCCAGATTAGAGTCCGCGCTCCTGACCACTACACCAAACTGACTCTCAGGAGGAAGAGGAGGAGGAGACTGGATTTATACTCCACCCTTCACTATCCGAAGGAGTCTCAGAGGGGCTTACAATCTCCTTTCCCTTCCCCTCCCCACAACAGACACCCTGTGAGGGAGGTGGGGCTGAGAGAGCTCTCCCAAGAACTGCCCGGATTTATACCCCATGGCCCTTCAGTACTCGGAGTCTCAGAGTGGTTTACGATCACCTTCCCCTCCCCACAGCAGACACCCTGTGAGGTCGCTGGGGCTGAGAGAGCTCTTTCGAGGACTGCCCTTGAGAGAACAGCTCTGACAGAACTTGTGACTGACCCAAGGTCACACCAGCAGCTGCGTGTGGAGGAGGAGTGGGGGAATCAAACCCGGTTCTCCCAGATTAGAGTCCGCGCTCCTGACCACTACACCAAACTGACTCTCAGGAGGAAGAGGAGGAGGAGACTGGATTTATACTCCACCCTTCACTATCCGAAGGAGTCTCAGAGGGGCTTACAATCTCCTTTCCCTTCCCCTCCCCACAACAGACACCTTGTGAGGGAGGTGGGGCTGAGAGAGCTCTCCCAAGAACTGCCCTTGGGAGAACAGCCCTGAGTGACTGACCCAAGGTCACACCAGCAGCTGCATGTGGAGGACGGGGGGGGGGGAACACAGCCCGGGCCTCCCCGGTGCGCGCAGATTAGAGTCTGTGTTCCTAACTACTACACCAAACTGGCTCTCAGGGCATTTTTATTTCTTTAAAATCTTTATAAGACCACTTTCCTCCCGAGTGTACTTCCTAGCGTTCAGGCTCTCCGGCAGAGCTGTACACTCCCCACCTTTGGTGAAGGGACCTGTCCAGCTTTCTAGTCCTCAGCACTCCAGAGAGAAACTTGGGGGAAACACTGGGGAGGTGGCAACTTCAGAACTCTGCATAGTTCCTACCACCGCCACCCCCATTGTCCCCAGAGGCTCGGCAGGATAAATTGTGCCACTTTGGGGCAGGGCCCACAGAATTTGACTTTGTGTTTCGGAGTACACTAAACTCAACTCATGGCCTGGGAATACCCACCCTGGCTGTCTTCAGTCTTGCAACACACACACCCCCGTCACTATGGAGTTTTTTTTACCTTGCCTTGTACTCCCCCCCCCTCTCCGCTCCCCCCCCGTCACTATGGAGTTTTTTACCTTGCCTTGTACTCCCCCCAGATAGTTACCAACATTCACTCCTCATCTCCTTTCAGATGTTTGATTTCCTCCCTCTTTCTTGGAACCAAAGCAGCTCCCAGCGGGACTCCACATTCCCACAACATCTTGCAGACAACGGCTGCTCCTCTCCCCTGTTATGTACGGGGACTTTTCATCCCCCCCCCCAGCTGATCTGCCCGCCGCCCGTGTGGGCCCAGTTTCAACCAGATGCCGTGTGCAGGCAAAGCCTTGGCGGCCAACCGTTTCCCCACAAGCGACACCACGTTCAAGTTAGGCCTTGGACAGCCCCAGAACAGTTCTGCCGCCTTTGGAATGTGAATGAATGACCCCCGGGGGTGCCCCTGAGCATGTGCAGAGAGCCCGTCTCTCGCCCTCAAGCACCCAGACATATGCCTGGGGGTTTACAGGGCGGGACTCTGAAGCAAACTAACAGTGTGTCTTCGAATCAGGATCCGGCCATGAGATCTGAATTCTCCACAAATTAGCTCTTGTTTTGTGAGAATCCAACGAGGGAGGGAGAATGGGAATCGGCAAGCGGCTTGGACCCCACCAATGCTCCCTCTAAGCCATGGAGTCTTGTGAGCAAAAGTTCTACTTTGTGAGCTCCTGACATTAAAGTTGTGAGCGAGCGATTTGGCTACGGCATAAATGAGTGTGCTTTGGAGCCCTCCTTCTTGAGCTAAGACAAAAATGTGTCAGCCAGAGGCTAAAAAACTGTGAGCTAGCTCACACTAACTCAGCTTAGAGGGAACAATGGACCCCACCCCCCACCCCAAACAAGTTGGGGGCAGTGTTCCCTCTAAGCTGAGTTAGTGTGAGCCAGCTCACCGTTTTGTAGCCTCTGGCTCACATTCTCTTGTCTCAGCTCAGGAAGAATGGGGCTCTGGAGCAAACTAATTGATGCAGCAGCCAAACGGCTCGCTCACAACTGTAAAGCTGGCAGCTCATAAAGCAGAATTTTTGCTCACAAGAAGACTCCACCGCTTAGAGGGAACACTAGTCCCAAGGTGTGTTCCCTCTAAGCTGAGTTAGTGTGAGCCAGCTCACAGTTTTGTAACCTCCGGCTCACACAGTCTTGTCTCAGCTTGGGAAGGAGGGCTCCGGAGCAAACTAACTGATGCAGCAACCAAATCGCTCGCTCACAGCTTTCATGCCAGTGGCAGCTCACAAAGCAGAATTTTTGCTCACAAGAAGACTCCACCGCTTAGAGGGAGCATTGCTGGAGGGGGGGGGGGCGCTAAGCCCAGGAGAGCAGCTTATCCTAATGACTTCCTCAGCCCAGCATCATAATGGCTCTCCAGGAGTTTCCTTCCTGTTGGTTCGTCTGGATCCCGTGGCTTCCCCACGCCCGCCCGGCGGCCTTTAGGCCTCCCCCCCCTCCAGAGAAACCTGCAGACAGCCAGGGGCCTGAGGCACAACACTGAAATGCACCCCCACCTAAACCCCCCAACAATAATTGGCAACCAACCGGCTGCTCTTTTGCGGCACCCCAACAGGGGCCAGCCGAGGGAATCTGCTGTGCCTTTCCTAAAAGGGGGGGGGATTCTGGCGCCCCACCTGAACCACTGAGGGGGCGCGGCTACAGAAGGCCAGGCCCGCAGCGGGCAGAATGGGCAGCCCTCCGTGGCACAGTGGGACCGGCCTGGCGATGGGCCTTGCCCGGAGAACATCGCGGCCGGCAGCGGGGTGCCCGAGACAAGAGGTCGCGCCCGAGACAGAGCCGGCTGTGCGACTGGCTGGGCTCCGTGCGAGCCAAGACGTTATGCAGAACGCACACAGGCACCTCTGGGCATGTGCAGAAGGCAGAGCTTGGTGGCGTGGTGGGGAGTAGGCCAGGAGACAGGTGCCTGCTTGAGCTGGGAAAGGACCTGACTACTAAAGTCCGGGAGTAATGCCAGAAGGAATTTGACAGAAGAGGGTGCTGGTGAGCGCGTTCAGAGTGCCAGGCACTGGGGGGGAAGAAGAAGAAGAAGAAGAAGAAGAGATTGGATTGATACCCTGCCCTTCACTACCCGAAGGAGTCTCAGAGCGGCTTACACACTCCTTTCCCTTCCCCTCCCCACAACAGACACCCTGTAAGGTAAAAGAAGAAGAAGAAGAGATTGGATTGATACCCTGCCCTCCACTACCCAAGGCAGTCTCAGAGCGGCTCACAAACTCCTTTCCCTCCCCCTCCCCACAACAGACGTCCTGTGAGGTGGGTGGGGCTGAGGGAGCTCTTTTGAGAACTGCCCTTGAGAGAACAGCTCTGAGAGAACTTGTGACTGACCCAAGGTCACACCAGCAGCTG